GTGTGTGTGTGTGTTGGTGTTGTGTGGGGTGTAGGGTGTGGCGTGTGGGGTGTGGGGTGTGGGGTGTGGGGTGTGGTGTGTGGTGGGTAGTGGGTGGTGGGTGGTGGGTGGTGGGCGGTGGGCGGTGTGTGTGCATGCGTGCGGGTGTGTGTGTGTGTGTGTGTGTGTGTGGGCGTGTGGGTGTGTGCGTGTGTGTGTGTGTGGGTGGGTGTGTGTGTGTGTGTATGTGTGGGTGTGTGTATGTGTGGGTGTGTGTGTGGGTGTGTGTGTGTGTGGGTGTGTGTGTGGGTGTGTGTGTGGGTGTGGGTGTGGGTGTGGGTGTTTGGGTTTGTTTTTGCATATCGTCATTGCCATTAAATAGCTGCCTCGATGAGCTGATGAGAGGTTCCGACCGTTTCGCATGACAGGATGGTCTGACCGGAAGCGCCNNTGGGCCAACTACACCGCATCGCCTTTGCGAGCACGCTGAACTGCCTGAGCGACGCACATGGCATGCGTCTATAATATGTTTTACATAGCCGACGAGCCTTTCGAACCCCAAAGATATCACAAATTTGGGAGTGTGACTCCCGCCACCAGCCAAGAGAGCGGCAGCAAGCGAGAAGAAGTCGTAAAAACAAGTTTTTGTTGGCTCTGACATTGGGTCTATCGGTGCCTTGGTCGTTGCGTGGACCGCCACCTCAGCCTCAGCTTGTGGCTTCTTTGGACAGGCAGCGACACCCTGACGCACGTCATGATCGTGCCTCAGCCAATTTCTGTTGCGTATCCATCTGGCGAAAACTGACTTCTGCTGCTAGATTTTACAGCATTTTTGCATTGATGAAATCTTGAAGCTGAGGTATTCAGGGCTTTGAAAAGGAGAGCCCAACCTGTCCAGCTAACTCTTTTGTGTTATCGATTCTCTCGAGAGGTGCGCGACATGATGACGAGGAGCGGTAGCTCTCTGGAGGCTGGGCGCCTGCTGCCATTGCACGCTCTGCCCCGCGGCCAGTCAGTCTTTCGAGTCCGCTTCACATGGGCGACGTCGCTGGGGGCAGTGTTAGATTCGTTTTGACAGCTGGCTGCAGCCATTCACTTGCCTGCAGCGGTCCTGTGTGCATTTGTTTTCTGTTGCTTGCATGCATGCATGCAGCATGCACATCTACATACCAACATACGTGGCCGTTGGTAGGCTGGTGGCACGGTAGATGCGCTCGTGGATGTGGTTTGAGCTGCATCTAATTATTTGTCTACGCTATCTATATATATATACTTGCATTCCTGTCCATCTGTCTACCCGTTCGTAAATGTACTCGTTCATGCATGCATGTTGTTGAACCATCTCTGCGTACTGGTCTACGTATGTGCACCTCCTTCAGGATCGCATGCTCGTGCAGGCATGTGCAGGCCGTGGGGAAACGCGGCTTCGGCTACGACTCGAACCAAAGGCCCCAAGCCCAAAAGCCGGCAGCAAACAGCCAGCGAAGGTTCCTTGTGTGGGTGGCGCATGCAGCCCTGAACCAAGCGACGCAGAAGAGTACTGCTACCCTGCCGCTTTGCTTCGAGGTGCAACCGTTGCTTCTTTTCACGAACTGTTTCCATCTTTTGAATAAACCCTGTAGGTTGCAAGGGTTGTGCTTGATTGAACCCAGGTTTGTCGAAGTTTGGCGTGCTGCACTGTATGGGCAGGAGCCATCTGTGTCTTGGCCCACATTTAGTTCGTCGTCGTCCCGAGCTGGCAGCTCGAGGTATGAGTCGCTATGAGCGAGCCCCATACACAAGGCTCCATGGGTCTTTGAGACGGTTGAAGACAAGGCGGAGTGGCCAGATCTCAAACCCTCTCATGCTCATCAGAAGACCAGGCCTTGCAAGTACTGGCATCCTCGTCTAGCCTGGATTGCAAGATGTGCCAGCAACTTCACACTACACAGTGCAATTTCGGCAAGATGAGATGCGAACTGCACAGGCAACATTGCAGTAGAATGCGTTCTGAGCAAAAGTTGTGGAGTATGGTGCATGGCTGTCACATGTGCTACTAGTCAGAGGCTGCTTACCCACGAACGACCCATGCCGTCCACCCACCACCACCACCAACACCAACACCAACACCGCCACCACCAATATCTATTGGACAATCAGAACCACAAAAGCCACAAGGGGAACAGCAACAACAACAACAACGGCTGTAGCAACAGGTAGTAGCAACCGACTAGATCGCCAGCAAGCGCCGCAATCACGAGGACACTGGTAGCCGTAGCAACATGGTCGGTCAGCACTGGAACTACAGCCAGGCACTGAGTATCAAACACTTTCAGCCCGAGACCCGCGCGGCGAAGAGCCGAGGCTCCAAAGGGCGCTTCGCCACGGGGCCACGCGCTTCGCCCTGGCCCTTGCCAGGCTGGGAGCCCCTCGAACGGGCGTCTCTTTGAGCCGTCGGCGTGGCGGTGTGTGTGCATGGAAAAATGGAAAACCATGGAAAACACGCATATACTGTAGCAGGCGGACAGAAAATACGATGTCGCACCGGTTTTTTGAATGGAGAACAGACAGCCCTGTGCGCAGAGGTTTGCTCCTTGCTCGACCGAGCCGCGGAGCCCGGCGACTCTGCAGTGGATGTGGTCTTCTTCTCGCACCCGCCGTGCTCTGTCGATTCGATGGTGTGTTGGAAGGTTTGGCTTTCAGCTGATCGGGGGATCAGTGGACGTTGACCTCGCGGGATTCGGAGAGCCGGAACCGCCCGAAGCATAAACCTTCAGCAAGATACGCCCCTACTATGTTACACGGCATGTTACATCAATTTCTTTCTTTGAGGTATCCCAGCTCGCTCTTCAGCCTCTGGTGGCCCAGTGCGACTCCGGCATCCAAGAGCGGTTGGGTGCCGTCCTGGTGGATTCTTGGAGCGCAAGGTGGTTTTTTTTTGGCTGCTTTGGTGTGAAGAGGGTCGGATCCTGCGGCTTGCAGCTCCCAAGTCCTGAAACTCAGCCGGAACCTTGACAAAAGTTCAACTCGCCCTCCTTGGTCCTGGTCCTTGTTGGCACGTAAGGGCCCAACAATTTCTCAAACATGAACCCCTTGCCCAAATTCAAACCCTGCAACCCCTGAGCTGCCGATGCTTAAGGGGCTCCTACTTGAGCGTCTAGAGCTTTGTGTCGGCTCCTGCTGATCACGCCACAGTTCTTCTCCGTAGGCAGGAACACGGTAATACGTGTAGCAGCCTTCGGGTGTACAAGAGGTGGTGAAACAAGGCGACCCNNCCCCCCCCCCCCCCCCCCCCGCGATCTTAACAGGAAAACCACCAGAGAGCTCCTTTGATGAAGCCCTTGGCAAGGATGTACCTCCTTGGCCCTCCGCTCTCCCTGGTGATCCCCGTCCTGTGGCCGCTCCTGCGGAGCCTCGGAGGAACACGGCCCCGGCCCGTCTTTACCGGGGGCGATAATCTGAGTGAGGCCTATAGGTCCTAGGTCTGGGAGATTGGGTGTTCGCTATTTTTGTTCTGTTTGCGCTGCGGTTGCTGGTTTGAGGGGCTCAGGAGCCAGTGTTGGAGGCACCTTTGATCCTACCATGGACCTGGTCCTACAGTTGGCAACAGAGAGGGCGCCCCGCTGCAAAACCATCTTCTCTTGTATGTGGATGACTGAACAGATACTGGCATTCTATTCCTCTTGTCGCTGTTCGTACAAGAAAGAAACCAACGAACACGGATCCACACCCGACGCCATGAGGAACGGCCAGGGTTTCGAGATCGCAGAAGATGTGAGCTACGCTGGCGTGCATATGCAGAACTGGGTACTAGCCTGCTTCGGCTACCAGTACCTGTTCCATGGCTGTCTAGCTGTGGTCTTTGAGGTTACTTTTGATTTGTGGAGCATGTGGGCACAGATGTCACGTATATGTTTGGTGGTGCAAAGTTCTGTGGTGCCATGCACTCCCTCATTGTAGGAAGGAGTCTGAGCCCCAATCGTAGAGATCCAAGTAAGGCTTTGGCCTTTCCGATCCTTCGTCGCCGTGTCTCGGAAGTGTTGGAATGCGTGTCTGCCGAAGGATGTTACTGTTGGATACTGTTGGTGGATCACGTCCATCTCGCCCGAGATCACTGCCGTACGTCGATTTACAGAGTGACACACTGGGGAATTTCTGTTGATCCGGGCGCAGGCATGCACCCCTGTAGGGTCAACGACTGCACCTGTACCACCCAATTCCGAGGCACGCATTGCTCAGAGCGTGTCGATGGCCGAGAGGAAGGGTGCGAAGGTTCTTTGCCTTGGCGCCCTGAACAAGGCCGAGTGGATGAACAATGGTGTCCTGGCAATTATCTGGCCTTTGCACATAAACCCTATCCGAGGCCCTATCCTTTACCATCTACACCCGTAAAGCCACTGTCCCACACATCCCGTTCTCAACTTCGAAATCCTGAATTCTTGTCAAAAAAAGAAGCAAAAGTCAAACAATTGCATACACACAGCCCTGCATAAGCCTCTTCCAATCATCAAGGCCCCCAAGCCTCCTCCATCCCAAAAGTCCCCCCCCCCCCCAAGGTGGCCTTTCCCTGCTCCGTGGCCTTCACGGGGGAGCCTCGCCTCAGAGCCGAGTTTTGGATCTTCTTCCCACCTTTTTGCCAGCCAAAGACCCACATTCTGGGGAGATTGCTACTACTGTTGCTGTTATTCTGTTGATTATCATTACCGTCCTTGCTATCCTTCTTATGCCAAATATTTGCGTCATTGTCGCATCACCAGTAGGTAGTAGTGTTATCGTCGATGTGTTGTGTGTGTGTGTTTATTGCTGTATTATCTCAATGAGTCAGAGGAGGCGCTTGGCGCTCCTTCTGGAAGTCCACCATCTCATTGGCTTTGGTCTGAACTTCGGCTTCTGCCGGCAATGTCCCAAATTCCAACTAGCCTCTGTGCCAGCCAGCCGAGTCGTCGAAGTAGAGCGTCGCTGTTGCTGAGGTCACGGGTTTTAGCTGATGGATGTGCAGTCAGTGGATGTTTTGTAGCATCAATTGCCTGAAACTAAGGAGCGAGACTTGTCCATGGCAACACGCTCACAGCTGCGGCGGTCGTGGAGGTCAAACGGAAACAGAAGCCTGTTTGCCAGAGCAAGCGAGCCTGGAACTTATGCCCATGAGGGGCGGTCCCCTACGCACAGGGACATCCAACGCACTATGAGGGGACCCTTCATGAACCGTGTGAGTCCGTGTGAGCCCCTTAACTTGGCAGTGGAGTGCGTGCCTCGAACGTTCCGACGTAAGTTGGTTGTGCGCAAAGGGGTCTAACGCCTGAAATAATAGCCGTGCTGCTACCTCGCTTCCTCAAATCATCTACAGCGCCCAGATGGGGCGCCGAAACGCAGGCGGCTCGGTCTTTGTTTGGGGCGCCGGCCTCTGTCCGAGCTCCGATCTTTGTCACCGGCGCCTCGAGTGACCTGGCTCTAGGCTTGGAAAGAGGCCTTTTTTGGGGCCTATAAGGAAAAAGGCTGAGGCTTTTGGCTTAGGCGCCGGTCGGCACATCGGTGCTGCGTTTACTGCCGGCGCCAGTGGGCGCCCGGTGTAGAGTTCGATGTCGATGTCCAGACGTGCGCCCATGGATAAAGGTACTGGAATCCTTACTGGAACACGACTGAGCAAGAAGCCCCAGGCAAAGTCGGCGCGGCCGTCGTGCTGCGCTTGCTGCAGCTAGGCTATCCGGTACTCGCCCACTCCAGTGACCCGGAGAGGCCTCGCCGGTGGGGGGGTCGATGTCGCGCTTTGGGAAGGGTTGTGGGGACAACTCTCTGAAAGCTCTGATCTCCGGAGCTGCTTGCCAGTGTGACCCAGAACCTGAACCCGACAAGTTTAGGACGTTGAGCCCAAAGCCTCAAAGCTACCCCTTCGGTTCCCTTCGCTTCCCGAGCTCCGGCTGGGAGGCTTCGGCGCCTCGAGGCCCGAGCACGGCAGCTGGCAGAGAGCGATCTTCAGGCGCGCCTTCGCTTCGCTTCAGGTCCTCCCAGGCCCCCCTCAAAGGTCGGAGCCTTCAGGTAGGTCCCAGGCCTACGAAGTTCGAAGCCGACCCCTTGCCTTCCCTGCGCCCTCTCAGAGGTGACCACCGGCTTGGCCAAGGGCGTGGACACGGCCTACTGGGTCATCGGCAAGCACGATCCAAGGCCGCACGTCCCCTTCTTGGGAAAGCTTCCCTCACTTGATCTGACGGCTCCAGAATTGCTCTGATCCCGGCAAGGGTGGCGCAGTACCTGCCTCGTGGCTCTCGGGCTGTGGTCTTCAGTGTGCCCAATCCGCTGGAGGACGCCGAGGGAGACCACGCAGCCCAGGGCTGGAAGATGTGGGAAGTCGGAGGGCAGATCCTAAAAGGTTTTCGTTAATTTCCAAGCCGGATCCACGCGAGGAGTCCCGGCGCAAGGACGTTGTTTGGGCACCCGGTGGCAGCTCTTCTGTCTCCTAGGTTTCTTGCGCCTATAGTCATGCTCTGACACAGTGCGACGGCAAGTCTGTAAGGTGAGCCAATCCCGGAGCAACCTCGGACTGTACCTGTAGGAATACCACTTCACGCCACGGCCAGGACTCTCGTATCTTACGGGTCGAATTGCTGTGTTTCACGTCCGAGGCATCCTCCAGCTTGACACTGCACGCTTGGCCAAGCCCAGACAGTTCTCGAACCTTTTGGCAGAGAATGTCACCCGGATTTCAACGTTTGGGTTTCTTGTCGTTGCGGCGGAAATATCACTCACACCGTGTATGATGCCTGTACCCAATGAAAGTGGGGATCTGTTCGATGCACCGAAGCCTGGTGCCTTCAGAGAACAACTGCTTCGATTCATTCGATTCATTGATCAGCGTTTGCTGTCAAAACGCCGACTCTCCCAGGGAAAAGGGATGCGAACTCTGAAGTTCAGCGACTGGAGTGACCTCAGGAAATCTATGCCTGCCATGCAGCCGGCATCGTCACTGCAGCTCATGCCGACTGGCATCTCGGCAACAAACATACTCGGATAAGCTTCATGCAAGTCAGAACTGTAGCAAGGTCCTTCAAGAAGATTGCCATGACGATAAGACGCAATAAGCATCTGGGGCGCTGTTTTCGGTCTAAGTCTACCACCACTTGCCGAAGTTTACAGGATTTCAGCGCTCACGTGCATGTCAGTCATCTTGCACGCGGGACACATGTCAAGTTAGCTGCTAGCCCAGCACCAGTGGTATCATTTTCATATTGGAGCCGGCCGACTTCGGCGGCAAGAGGCATCAAGGTTCAAAGGCGCGCAGCTCTGGGATTTTTTGGAGCTCCCATTCTTAGCCCCTGGCCTCGAGCTCTGTAGCTGCTGGCTGTGTAGCTGCCTTCGAGCTTCCAGGACGGATGAGTTGGGCGAGGTCTGCGTGGACGCCATGTCCCTGCAGTGGGAGGCCGAACTCCCCGAAGCTGCCTTTCCAGAGCTGCCCCAGAAACTCTCGCCGAAGCCAGGCAGCCTTGCAGATGGGCTTTTCGCTGCCGCCGCTGCCCCGAGCTGCAGGGAACTTGCCTGGCTCACCTGGCCAGCGTGGGAGTGGCTCGACTTTAGAAGGGCAGGCGACCCACCAGTGTTCACCCCAAAGGCCACGGTTGTCACCGTCCGAACGTGAAAAGCTGCAGTCCCGAAGGACGGAAGGCGGATGTGGCGGTGATCGGGGCTGGTCCCTCTGGCTGGGGGCCCAACAAAGGGCGCTTGCCGTGCCCCTGACCCTCTTTCCCTGGTAAGGAAGGTAAGGTGTGGCTCGCATTTCTCTTGCCCACCCGATATGTCGGTTGATAAGAAGAACTCCCCCAACTCCGAAAGGAAAGGACCCCCAAGCCCTGGTGCTGAGGCCTGGCTACTGCCGCTGCCCTGGTGGAAAAAGGAGTCGACGTTGTCGTGCTCTTCGGACTGGAGCTCGTGTTGACGCTGCGTGATTCTAGTGTTTCCTCTTCCGGGCTCGAACACTCGAAGGTGGCAGTTTGCAAGATCGAGGATGATGGTTAATTCAGTATCAGAGCTTCGGCGATTGTTGAGCGGCTGCTATATTCCAAGCAAAGGGTCTTGAGGCCTCACGGTCTTGTCTTGAGAAATCCCAAAGACTTCGCTTGGCTGCGAGGCTTGAACGCCAGTCCGAGATCCAGGGCAGCTGGCAGGAACACTTCGAAGGCGATTTTTTTTCTGGGGTTGGTGGGAGCTTGCCCTGGGTCCTCGAGACGCTCGTTGTCAACTCCAGTCAGCTCCAGTGGCGTTTCTGTATACACTCGCCAGTGCTCTGCGGGAGGCCTCAGCATCACCACCCGAGCTGGGAGCTGTGGGCTTCCTGGCTGGCCGGTGCCTTTGCCTTGCAACCTTAAGCAGGAATGCAAGACCGTGCCTCTGAAAATCTCAACTTCCCGAGAAGACTGCAGTCGGTGGCAGTAAAGGCTCATCATGAAGGGCCAAGCACTTTCCGGGACGTCGGCTGAAGTCAAGGGCAGCAGACAAAGCTTCACCGTCTTAAAGCGGATGGCAGGAATCGAAGCCACCTAAACCACCAAAGGCCATGAACTGAACCACAATGGTTCGCCTGCACCACGAAATGATACCATTTACAACACAATTAGATACCCTTACGAGGACCCCATCAGCCTATCAGTTTCCGCACCCAACCAAAAGCCGAGGATGCGCCAATCTTAAAGAGAAGACAATGAGAATAGCCATCGGCATAGGACGACGTCGCCATGATGGTGACATGAATGAAAGAACGAATAATACTAAAGGCGAGTCATGAAATCATATTAAAAAATTGGCAGTGATAGTCATCATCCGCAGCAAGGTGATGACCATCTTCGAACCCCGAAACTCTAGATCCCAATATTGGAGCATGTAAAGGTGTGAGTCGTAAGGGGTGAAGTCATCAGGTGAAGCTCGTGACCGGCTCGGATGAGCCTCCCGGATCCGGGTAGTTGGGTTGCTGACCGCTCGAGATAGGACTCTTGGAGTAGAGGTGTTTTGGCTTTAGAGATTTGTGTCTTAAAGGGGAAGGGTCATTGATGCGACAATTCCTTTGAGGGTCTTCTCACGGATTCGAAGAGGACCTGCCCATGTTTCGCGCTGTTGTGATGTCGACATGGGAGCAGAGCATAGTCTCGAAAAAAAGCGGAGACAGGGAGTTGTTGGTTGATGGCCCTTGACAGTTCGAGCCCCGGCCTTTGCAAGTCTAAACTTATCTGCAAGGCTAGCTGCCAATGACTACGTGCAGTATCTGCGCGCCTACTCAGCGCGCTTCGGACTGGACATCCGTTGCGGCGTTGAGGCGCCATTCGGGGAGGGGCAAAAGAGTGAAGCCCACGGCCCAACACAAACAGGCAAGGTCCCCGGAGGTCACAAGGGTTCAGATGCGATGGTCGCTTGTGAAGCGTTACTAAAGCCAAGATTGTGCAGGTCACCGACATCGAGGACCAGTCAGGCAAAGTTTGGGGGAAATGTCAGGAAAGCTGAGGCTTGAGTAAACGCTTGTGTTGTCCAGCAACTTGTTTGCAGTCTCGTCTCGTCAGGGTCTCCTTGTGTCTTGGACAGTGTTTGTTCGCTAGATTGGTTTGTCTCCGCGTCAAGCTCCTTCCTCCCGCTTCCTTTCGTGCTGCCTTCTATGTACAGTCTGTTTGGATCTGGTTGGGCTGCTTTTGAATGCTGCCGAGTTGTGTGCTATGCTACGTTTTAAATATTCGCTCAAGTTCGCGTGTACCGTTGTGTTGGATTCTGTTGAGCAAGGTTCCAGAGATGTGTCCCACGCCGAGCCACCCAGCCACGGATCTTGTGAATTTGAAAAATGGGGTTCTTTTCCCAGTTGGAACGTTCGGCCTTCGGGCTCAAGTGAGGTTTGTGCAATGAATGTACTGTGATGTGGTCATTGCTGGGAGGTCAGTGGTGCATCTTTACTGCCGAAGCCGATGGAGCTCAGGGGAGCCTTCGTCAAAAGTGTCGGATGGTGAGAATGGTTCAACTGGTCTTTTATGGCGGCTGATTCTGAGTCCTTCTGGTTTGGATTGGGGGAGTAGTTCTCACATCCTGCAGGCCTTAAGAACTTTCTCAGAAGCTACTAGACAGCACCGGGCAGTCTCAAACGTTTGTTCTTTGAACGTCCGGAAACCGGCTCCCCGCCTACTGGTGTTCTCAGTTGCGGTTTTCTCGGCTTTCTTGGTGTCAGGGAATTTCCGCTTGTGCATCGACTTGAAGATGTCGGGCGTTTTAGGCGTGGTCTGCTCATGGTCGTGTTTGCAATGTTGGCTCTCTTTGACATTGTTACTCTGGTGGTTCGTTCTAAGTGGCACCGGGCCTACGGTCATTATGCCAATCATATTAAATTAGATGTGTGTCTGACACACACACACACACACCCCACAATGCGTGATAGCTGCTAGCCGTGCCGTCTCTGGCCACTAGAATTGCTACTGTGTTTGGTTCGGTTTGGTTCGTGTTGCTGGCAAGGTAGCCAGCAGCATACATGTTGTCTGTAGCCTCTTGTGCATGCCTAGTGCCGTGCGAGATACAAATCGGGTGTCGCGGCTTGCGTGATGCCTTGGCCACAATGAGATACCAGCATGGGCATGTTCTATAAGGTTATGGTACGGTCGGAACCCAGCAACTATTTGCCTTAGGTAACGGTGCTGTGCATCTTTGGTAAAGGTGCTGCGCATCTTCCAGCACTGCATCCAGAGCATAGGGTTCGGGGTCTGGCGAGTGAGGAACAGAACAGTGACAGTTATCCCAAGATCTCAATACTGTCACTGAGGAAGTGGTTTGCCACCGAGCTGGTCATTGCAACCGGCAAGTGTCTTGTCAAGTCACTACCACTTCCCGTGCTGAAGGGCGCAGCTGAGTTGTGCTCCCCGAAGCCGCATCCCGCCTCACCCCGTGAAAAACGCCAGTCTTGCCTTGTCTAGCTGAGGAGCGTCGCACCCTCCCTGCCGGCGATTTGGTCAAGCGTGTCTGGGTCGCAGTGCATATAAGGACTGTATAAGCCTGCCTTCGTTTGGAACTGCATCCGCAATGTCTCCAACAGCGCCCAAGAAGCTGAAGGAATTTCCACCGCAGGAGTGAGGACACCTCCTGCGACCTCGGAAAACGCTCCAAGATCCCAAGCCCCAACCCTGCGGACGCCAAACTGCGTCGGAAAGCTCCCAGGAACCGGTTCAGCATCATCCCGCCATCGTCCACTCTTCCCAGGCGTGTCAGGGGCCACAATTCAACATGAGCACACTAGCAGTACTAGCATGCGGTTGGTGATGTTGAGTGATACATTGTAAATTAGCACGCCCGAAAAGAACACAGCAGTTGAGACCTTGAGCCGCAAAGCCTCATGCAGAACCCGAAGTCCTGTCACCTGTACCCGATGGACGCAGGTGAGGGGGCCCGAATTGCAGAAAGCAGTGGCGGCTGCAGGGCAAGGCGAACTTCTCGCGACCCGCATGCAGTGCCCGCTTCATAACTTGAAAGGTTTCAATCGGCCAAGGCCTCGGCGCATTGCCTTGAGCCTGGAGTATTGCCGGGTAAGCTAGTCAGTCAACACTGTTCAGAGGCCTGCCTTGCTGAAGAAACCAGACTTTATGATTGACGAAGCACTCGAAGCACCTGCTGTGGATTCCTGTCTCGTAGGTCAGACACAGAGAGGACTTGTCTCTCAGCCCGGGCCGAGGTGGTGGGTTTCGGAAATTCTGCAGCCGACCTCTGCAGCAAGATCCTTGCGCAAGTGCCAGGCGAGCAGTTTTCCGATAGTAGGTTCATCAGTTTTGGGCCACCCAGCTCTCCACTCACCCCAAAATAAGCGGCCCGTTCTTCGCCCTCAAAAGGTGGCACCGTGCACGTCTCCTTGCGGCGGGTGCCTCCCATCATGCGCCGGCAGTGGGGCCCGCTCCGCCTCGAATGGTCTCTTTGCCCGATTAAATATTAGAGGGGGGCACTCTGCAGGGTTTCGTGAATCTTGCGGTTCTGTCCTTCCTCGTCCTCAGCGACGATGAATCTGCTTTGGCCGAGTCAGGTTTGCTCGCCTTTTCTCTTACGCCTGCGATAAGAATGGGGATCGCCTCGCGCAGCTGATGATGCACCTGATCGAGACTTCGGCAGATGTTGAGTCAGGTTTGACCTTTTTTGTTTCTGCAGCTGCCCTTTTTCTCTCCAAGACCTGTTTCAGCAAGGAGGGGGACATCCAACACCTGTTTCCCGCAGACCTTCCCAGATGGAAGGCACGCCAGGAGAGGCACATACCGACCATCGATCGGGACGGTTCTTTAGTCCGACAGCTTCGCGAGGGCAGCATTCTGCTACATCGGGGCGTCGAAGACCTGGAAGCCACAGACCTCAAAAAGCTTGGGATCCGATTTCGGGGCGATGATCAACGACGAGACTTCTCTACCGTGGTTCTTTGCACTGGCTATCGGACGAGCCTGGAGTGCCAGGGGGGCTTGTCGCGAGACGCAGTGCGTGCGCGGGCCTTCTTCGTCGGCCTCGGCCCAGAACAGCGAGATCTGCTCCCGCTGCAGGGAATCGGGCGAGAGGCTCAGAAAGTCGCGGCGCAAGTCTCCGACATGCTGAAATTGAGGATGCGCCAAAGTGAAAGGGACTGGGGCAGGGAAGCGTCGGAGTCCTCGCCGGAACGAACGAAGGACAAGGACCTGTGAGCATCTTCCAGAAGTGATGTGTTATTTCAAGAGACGGCAAAAGGTCGTCTTAGAGTCTTCTTAGACAGCAGGATATCTTTTACCGAGACCTTCGAGACATGAGCCCAGTTGCCGCGGCTGAGCAGGTTGTCGGCTCATGAAGTCTTTAAGCTGGTCCCCAGTTTCGACGCCGGCGTTGGGGAGAGTTCTACCATCTTGCCAGGCACGAAACTGCCCCGAACTCGAGGATCAGCACAATTTTCGCCCCCAAATACGCCCTAACCCTGTACCCTCCCTCCCTCCCAGCCGCACCCCCGCTAATTGCTGGAGCAGAGGCCTGGGTCGAAGGACTTCTTCCCTAAGTCAAGCCCCTTTGCCTCGGCCTCGTGTTTTGGTTTTGCTTGTTTGTGTCGTTCGTTTGGGTTTTTTGGTCTTTCTTAGTTGGCTTCAGAGACTTCTCTTTGAGTCTTTCTAGAGGATTCTCTCTCGCTTAGAAGACATTGAATTCCCGGTGTGACAGCACCAGTCCTTGCCGTTCCTATTCAAAGTCTCCGCACAGCACCAGAAACCTAAGAAGAAAGAAAGCCTCTTCGAAGCTTCGCCCCGTGGCCTCGGCGCAAGCGGCCCCAGGCGCAAGCGGCTCTGCTCCCATTTTCGAGGCCCATTCGAGGCCCCCCCGCGAATTGGCCTCCGGTTAGCCTCCAAGGACGGGGGCGAAAGCACTTTCGCCCCGAAAAAGAAAGCGGTGGGAACGCGGTGCGAGCTGCAAGGACTCCCGAGCCTAAGTGTCCAGTCCAACCCCTCGGCATGCAAACAGTTGTGCTTGATTTGTTGTGGCTCCGGAGCTTGCGGGGATTAGCTGCGACGGTTAGGTTCCGAGAAGAATGCCCCAGGGTCAAGGCGTAGCTGGTACTAAGCTCAGCGTAGTCAGGGAAAAACCATCCTCCCCAGATTTGGGCCCACTGATGCCAGTGAGGGAGAGAGAGTCTTGTATATTAAGAAGAGCACGACAAAAGTCACCTTTGGCTTTCTGCTGCCACGACAAGGGTGGCAGCTGCTGCGGCTCCATGTTCACCATGGGCAGCCCGTTTCCTTTTCTACAACCGACGGCGACGGCTCCAAATATGGCGGCTGCACCCTTCCTCACAGAGGCAGGGCTCCCGATGTACCGCTGCTCCGGTAACTCATGCAGTAAACAATGGAGGTGCAGTGGTTTTCACTGAGCTGCTTCATTCCCCAGTCCTGAAGCTTAGATGCGTCGTTTTGAGGAAGAGGAGTTGGAGGAAGAGTTGGAAGACCTGCCTGCAGCGGAGAAGGAGGTGGATCCCCTTCGTGCTGCGAGGATCCGGCGTGAGGTAAACGGCAGAACATTCACAGGATACGTAGAGGACGTTGAGCAAGGCAAGGTCACTCATGAAAGATGCTTCATTGCACTCAAGTTTCCCTCGCTGGACAGCTCGTATGCTTCTAGTCAGAAAGCTCGAATGCTTCTAGCTCAGAAGCATTCTGTGCCCGTGCCCCTAAGGACTGTATCGGATAAAATATGAGGATGGCGACCTGGATCTCTGACAAACAATTAGCACCGCATGCCAGAGCATGAGAAATCACACTCCCATGTGAATCCTGCCCAGGAACACCTGACAGCCGAGCAGGTGAGAGAAATGATGCTCGAAGATGACGAAGAGGATGCGATGCGATCCGGGAGCAGCCGTTTCGGGATCCATGATGACTACAGTGACTACGGCAACTGGGGCTCCCTTTCACATCCTGACCAAAGGCAGTTAGCGCTTCATGGTGGTTACAGAGGCTACGACTGCGATAGTTTCTATGGCGGGCCGGAGCTTTCTGACGAGGAGCAAAAGCTGGGACTTCGCCAGTTGCTGACTGGTGGTAACAGCTTGCCGTGTGTGTTTGTTTGTGTGTGTGTGTGTCTCGCTACCTGTAATATGTATGCCAACGTCCATGCGTATGCATACACTACGTCACTACGTGTGTGCGCATGTATTTGTGTGTGTGTGTATACAGAGTGTGTGTGTATATATATATACATATACACACCCCCAAACAACTCATACGCAGACACATACAGATACATACTACATAGACATACACTTGCATATACGTATACATGCACATGTACATGTACACGTACATACACACACATATATATATATATATGTATATGTATATACATATATATATATATGTATGTATGTATGTATGTATGTATGTATGCATGTATGGGTAATGTAATGTAGTGTAATGTAATGTAGTGTAATGTAATGTAGATATGCATGCATACATTGATGTGTGAGCAAAATCTGTATAAAAAGGGATGTATGCGAACGCACATTTGCTTTCGTGTAGTGTAATGTAATGTAGTGTAATGTAATGTAGATATGCATGCATACATTGATGTGTGAGCAAAATCTGTATAAAAAGGGATGTATGCGAACGCACATTTGCTTTCGAAAGCTGCGCGGATCAGGAGTTGAGCAAGATGGCCGTTAATCATGCAAGAGCTCTTCGACCCAAAAGTTCGACTGTTGCAGAGATGCTTGTCGAGCTCTCGTTTGCCCGCTGGATCTTCCTACGAAGCAACCGTCTGCCTTTGGAGGCGCAGCACTTCATCCGCTCCTTCCTACCAAGCCCAGCAGCAGAGCTGGCTGGCCGGAAGATCCTTGGCCTCCACGACGGGCATGAGCTGGTCTTCGACTCCATGGCGTGCTTGCCAGCCGGCAAGCTGATGTGCCAAGTGGGCCGCGGTTGGTGTGTCGGACACACCAACAACAAAGTGTGGTCTTTAGCAGACTATTGCAGGAGCCTAAGCTGCCCCGTATCTGAAGAAGCGCCCGTGGCCCTTGCCACCCGCGGTTGGGATGAGGACTTCTTCTGCCGGTGCGATGAGCCTCTTCATCCTCTACCGGCTGAGTTCGCTGTGCTGGTTCCGGGCGATGCGTCGCCTGCAGGGTCCTTCTTCGACCTGATGGAGTCAGCCGAGGGCTGGTTCGACGACATAAAGGTGTACGAGGACAGCGGAGACAGTGAGCAGGATCTGGAAGAATGGCCGGCTCGCAGGCGGGGTAAGATTCCTCGAGACCCTGAGCGCCATCTTCGACAGGGAGGAGCAAAACGGGCTTGCCCACCGAGGCTGCCACTGGATGTGGACCTGCAACACACATTAAACCGTCATTGTGGCGACGTCGTAGAGCACGGCATCGATGACGAGCCTTGGAGCCAAAGGGTTCGCCATCTTCTTCGCCAGGGCGCAAACCCGATGCTTGACATTACAGAAGTCAGGTCACACAAGACGCTATCACCGCTCGAGAAGGCCCTGCATGCTTTTCTCAAGCTGGTTGTCCTCAGTGCACTTAAGCCCCCGACCTACAGATCTAATTCCCCAACCCTGGAGCCACAGCCCTTTCATCGAGAAGGTCAGAAACTCGAAAGCATCACTGCAAGCTCACCTGGACGACCTTCGCGCCGGCCGACTTTGCCGGCACCAGGTGCACTTCTGGTTGAGGCCATGGCCAGCCGTTGCAATCCCTGAACCCGGCACTTGTAGCATTGTGGTGAAACATCGTGACTGGAGAGAGCCTCGACGCCGATCCTCGCATTCCCAGCCTAAGTCGAAGTTTTTGCGCCAAAGTTGGCGTTGCGCACACCAGCGCAGGTACGCCGACAGCCTCGAAGGCGTCGAGGAGTACTTGGAAGAGTTCATGGCTCAAATGGCAGACCTCGATGAAGTCCTCGGCCTGCTCTCGGCTGCTGTGAAGATCTGGGAAACGGCTGCACCGGCGCCCTCCATGTTTTGTTCCAGTGACTGCTTGTATGGCCGCGGCTGGGTTCACAGTTGAAGATTTTCCGGATTCAAGGTTCGTTTCCCACATTCCATTCACTTGCTTTCAGGAAGCACACATGGCTGTTTCACAGATTGCCCAGGTGGGGTCCTGCGTCCCAACCATGCCTGCTTGCTTCAAGCTCTGGATGCCGCTCCAGATGCGGCCTTTTCAGAAGATGAAGACTTGCTAGATTTCGCAGAGAGGATGTGGAGCTTGCAGCAGAGCTGGAAGGTACGGGTCAGGAGAACTGCCTAAGACAAGGGTGAAATGAAAACGGACTCTGCTCACCAAGCTGTTGCGTAGTTTTCTTCCCGGTGCTCCACCTCAGGCAGCACCTCAACAACTTTGCTGCCGCGAAGCAGAGGAGGAAGCCATGCAGCACGAGGATCGGCGAGCCCAACAGCAGCGAGCCTCAGAACAGAAGCAGCGCGCCAAGGAGCAGCGCCAGCAGAGGCGCGCGGAACTTGCCGCGCTGGCCGATGCACAGCTGCGTCGGAGATGCCAGTCATCCCAGAATGAATACGGAACAGGTTCCAGATGCAACCAGTGCGGGGTACGAGGCGATCACTTATTCAGTAGAAATCAACTGAACAAAGGCTGGCGCAAACGCTGCAGGGAGTGCATAGAGGCTGAACAGCTGGGTGTGGCTGCGCCCCCCAAGAACAAGCATCGCTTCGACGAGTACATCCGAACATGATGTCGGGAGCTGCCACGCTCCCTCTAATTCTTTAGTATCGCAAGTAGAGTGATTCAATTTCCGACTGAGGGTTTAGGGGAGTCCAACGCCGGGGAGCTGCAACAAAAATACCCTTGGCTGTGTAGCCCCAGCGACAGCGACTTCTGTCACGAAGCGTGTGGTGCCGGTCCACCACATCTCAACACGAAAGGATCTTGAACCCAAGTCTACTGTACAGCTCGCAGGAACGAATTGAGGTAGGGTGCCATGCCAAGCGTCTGCATCTTTGAGTCGCCATTGGCTGCAGCTTGCAGGAGCCACCTAAAGCGAGAGTCGCAGTGACGCAGAGACCCCCAGGCTACTCACAACTTGAGCTCTCCTCGCCACAGCCGTCCAAGAGCTCCGAGGCAAGAACCCAGCACCAAAGTTCCCCCAACGATAGAGCGAAAGACAGCCCCTGCATGGCGCAAAGCCTTGGCCGGTGTGAGGGACAGGCTGGAGGGTGTTTGGATTTACCTCGGAATTCCTAGGAGATTCTGGAGGATGTGGTAAGTTAAAGTCTTCCATAGCACCTCAATGCTCAGTCCGACCCACTTGGACTTGAGGGGCATTTGGAACTGGCGGATGTTGTTGGCCTAGACTCTTTGGAGATGGGATCGGGCTGGGCCGGGGTGAGCAGCACTGGACGGTGGGATCAGTCTCGGGCAAGTCGTAGAGTTGTTCATGTTAGCCGGGCGCCGATTTGATGTCATGAGGCGCCGCCGACCACCATCGGACTTCCTGAGTGGAGCCATGGAAACGCGCACCGACCACTTCCTAGGCGCCGTCGCGCTTTCGGGGGGATGCTCTATCCTGTTTCCACGAGTCTCCACTGGAAATGGCACTCGACATGACACGAGAGAAGCGCTGAGACAGGTGGTTTGGCCCAGGCTTGCCGAGACCTCCTCCAACTCCGCTCGAAGGCCGGAATGAAGAGCCTTGCTTGGAGCTTAACGCTATCCATCTATCTAATCTATCTATCTATCTATAAATATATATATATATATCCATCCCTTTAATTGAACAGAACTTGAAAATCCCTTCGGTAGGAGAGGAGAACAATGCGAAGGCCTAGGCCCTTGGTGAGTGCTGTTTGTAAATGGGTCCTCTGCCCCGGAGGTGTCTCGTGTGGAGGCCTTCACCCAGGCCCCGCGTTTCTCTGTGCTTCGTTGCAGCGAGACTAGCTTTGAGGCAAGGTGCGATCCCTGTTACAGCAGTTGTGGCAGGTGTTCCATTTTGACGGAGACGTCGGGCAGGAGAGTTTCTAGCATGGAGTGCCGTAGCAAACTGAGCATGGGAGAGAGGGAGAGAGATAGAGAGAGCGAAGTAACACGCTTGGGCTCCAAGCCTCTAACAAGCAGGCTTTGTCGCTGAGCTGCTTCGGTTTCGTGGATTTTGTGCTTTGCTGCTGTGCTAAGCACAAAAGGGCCACATGTGAAGATTGACACGACTCCTGAACTTGAGAGGCCCTTGCATGGGATCCGTTTGCCTCGCAGGTGGAACGGGCGGAGCTGGTGGCCGCCTGCTCGCAGCAGCTGGACCGGCTGACGCGGTCTCGCGAGGCCCACAAGCTGGTTCTTGGCTGTTGACACCGTAGAATTAGAGTTCCCTCGCCGAAAGCTGGTGGGCGGTAGTTCTTCGGCCCTCTCGAAGCAACGATCCTGCTGCAGGGCAAGACTGCGGCGCGTTTGCATCGCGTCCGGGAGGTAGCTGAGGTGCCTTTGCAGTCAGCTGATGCTTGCTCACTGTTTTGTTTGTACAAATGCATGCATTACTGCATAACTGCACCACTGCATCATCACATTAATCGTAACATCGCAGAACCACCTTACGAAAGTGTGTTTACAGGGACGAGCCATGTTGTCCTCAAGGCGACATCCTCAACCGTGCACCCCAGAGCCTGAACCCGGAATCCTGGAACCGAGAATGAATATTTCAGTCAGGCACGCGAACGCCTGCGGACGGCTGCCTGTGAGGCGGGCTGTCGCGCGAAGCTGCAGGACGGCCTGGAATTTGGATCCCATTGCGGGCGGAACACCAAGATCTGTTTGGGAGTGGCTCTGGCATTGCAGAGGTACTTGAGAAGGTGGTTTGCCGCAGGTTTGAGCTCGAGGGATGTAGGATTTTTATGTGAATCGTCAAGAAGCACATGCTCAGCGGTGCTGGCAGGGTGCTGGGTTGTTCTACCTCAAATCTCATTGGGGGCCATGAGGGTGCCCCCGCGTCGACCTAAGCCTTGTGTCTGGCCACGGTGGCCACGAAGCATCCTTCGAAGGATCCAGTCAGGCCGGAAGAAGAGGAACTAGCACAAGAACAGTGACATGCCGCACATATACAGTGTACACATCTGTGTACTGCAAGATTGAGAACTGCCTGGTTCCGAACCATCCCCACAACACGAGTCGGGTTTTCAGCTACTGGCCCATGGCAGGACCAGGCTGGCGCCTTCGCAGTGGCATGGAAGGCCCCTTGAGCTTTGCTTTGGGATTCGTGGCGCTTGAGGGGTGCAAGGGGTTGAATTTCCATGATCGAGACTCGAAGCCCACCGTTACACAGAGTTGCAGTTCTGGACTCGCAGGCGAAACAAGACTCGCAGCTCCGAGCCTTGCAGGCTCGCAGTGTCTTGCGAGCCTTCCGAGAGTCAGGGGTCGATGCCGCCAACGCTGTTGGGGCTGTGGGTTGGCGAGGGTCTTCCATTTTTATCGTAGGCCTGCTTGGCAGCAGCCCCGGCTCCTCAAGCCCTGCCTTACTTAGCCCTGAACCTTTCAAAGTCCTCTCTGGCTTCGTGCTGAGGAGAGGGCGCGACGATCCTGCCTGACCATGGAGGCCAAAGGCCTGGACCAGGCGTCGACGCAGGGCTTCGGAGTTCAAGAAGTAGACAAAGATGTTCTTGTTTTTGCCGCCTGTGCCGTGTGCTCGCATGCTTTGGCATCTCTGCCAATGTGCTTACGAGCGATCCAGGGACCTCGAGTGAAGTTCAGCGCTCGCTTCACTCTGTCGACGCTGCCTTGGAACTGTTCCTGCGCTATTTGGAGACTTGGAGAGTTCTCTAAATTAGAGTCCCTTGTTAGGTCCCCAAGATACTACGGCACCCTTATAACCGTGCCCCGCCTCCTCCCCCGCCCCGCCCAAAGCTCGAAAAGCCAAAGCCCCGACGAGAAGGCGCGGCAGAAGCTCAGCGAGGCCATGGCGGAGGCCCAGCGCCAGGCGCAGAGCCGCCACAGGGGACTCCCCCCGGCTGAGTACGGAGGGCCCCAAGGTTCCTTCAAGGGTTTCCCCCTTTAAAAGGGTGACTAGGAGGGTTACTGTGAGGCAAAGCAAGTAGGATTTCAAAGTGATTCGTTGAAAGAAGGATCTTTAGCAAGGGTTCAGGACGCTTTAGTCGGAACAGCATTAACCCTTCCGATCAAGTTCAAGGTCCCATCTTCAGAGGAGTAATAGTCTACACCTACAGCACTGACAGCCATACTCGCTCGCGGAGTATATTTCTAGCATCGTCTGATGTCGCTATCACATAAAGATAGCTGCATGACTGTATAACTTTCTCAAAAGAGAACTACAGTATGAATTGCCCCGAGACCTTTTTCGAATGATTTAGGGCTTCTGATAGGATCTATCATCTGGCATTCTGGGTCCTCCTAGGCTTTGCTAGGGCCAGGTTTTTTTTTTTTTTATCGGCTTATTGCAGTGTGTACTAAGGTTTGGATTAGTCGAGGGGCCAGGGTTAGGAAAGCCCCTTGCAGCGATCTCTGGAAGTAGTCAAGGGAAAGCTTCTGAACTCCCAGTCGCTGTCCTTGATACTCTGAACAGCATCAGAACTGGACCTTCAATCCCCGAACCGCGCACAGTGTCAGCATGATTGGAGTCTGAATGCGTGTATCACGTTTAGCTTGTACTGTTGTTGCCCTCAAGCCAGTGGTGATCTGTGCCCCAATTTGCGGACGCGACGTGCAAGGAGCAAGCCGATGCTTCTGAGACGTCCTGGCAGGCCGGAGAAGCTTCGTCTTCCGACACGAGCGGAGACTCAAACACAGTGTCGGCTGGCGGTACTACATTCCTAGACTCTGAAGCCTTGTTGCCCCGCTCCCCGACTCTCCAGACCCTGCAGGCAGGGCTCGTCCGCTACCCAAGTTTCTCGTGCCGTGTGTTCATCGCAAAGCTCTGGATTCTGGATTCGATCGTGGCATGACCGCCGCAGGGCATGGCGAGGATGCCCAGCGCAGTTCTGGAGGTTTGGGCCTTGACTCGGCCTGGAGCATTGGGCTTTGGGCGCAGCGTTGGTTTCTAGAGTGACGCGGCCAGTGCTTTTGTTGAACAGGAGGACTCCAGAGACACTACCCCGGGTTTCAGTTGTACTTGCCCGATATTGCGTGTTTTCTGAAGCGACTGCGGTGCGACAATCGTTGTTTATGCGTGGCATTGGTACCATTGGTGCTGGTCTCAGTAGGAGTAGGAGGGATGTGTTCGAAGACCATTCCAAAGGAGTGCTCCGTCGGTCGAAGTTCTAGCTTGACGACTGCTGTGCCAAGGAGACCTCGCGGACGAAGGCACAGGACGCCCTCCGCGGCGCCGTGGAAGAGGCCGAGGTCCTGTGCAAACTGGAGGCCAGATCGGAGGACTTTTGGCACGGTGTTCGGCCATGTTCTGGGACGAAGCCCGACACGGCAATTTCCCGCGAGGCAGCCGCAGCGGATCGCGCGGAAGACGGGGCGAACGAGGCCGAGGAGGCCAACGATTCCTTGCAGGGCGGGTGTGCTGTGATACATGTGAGTAAGCCAGCCGCAGCTCAACCCAAACCGAAGCCAAGCGCTCTCGCACAAAAGGCACCTTGAATCTGATAGGCCGAGAGCCCTTGAGCATCTCCGAACTGAAGTGCCTGGCACCTTGGAAGGTCTTCACCACCATACTTCAACGCGCTTTGAAGGAGACCGGCTGGGGGTCGGTTTCGGAGGTCGCTTTTGGGCGGTACAGGATACTCCAGCTTTATACATGGTCCGGTCAATCAAGCTGCCATGCATTCCCCAGGAGCAGCGGACCAAGGACCGGGCCGCGTTGCAGACGAGCAGGGCCTTAACCAGGATCTAGACTTCTGATGCAGGATCTGGACGAGTTTGCTTGCGGCGACACCTTGGCAACCCTTTCCGAGAGTCCGCGAGCCTGAAGCCCTCAGATCTAAAATGCAGGATCTGGACGAGTTGGAGACACCCTCGCAGGCGGGACTTTGGTCGGAGCACGACAGGAGGAGTCTCGGAACCCGAAAAAAGCGGTGAGAGTGGATTGAGGGCTTTGAGGGCATCCGGGTTGCCGCTTCTTGGCGGGTCTTCGGCTTGCAGGCCGCTCGGTCTTCACCTGGCGGCATCTGGGCTTCGCAGCCGGCTCAGACTCCTCAGACTCCCTTCTGCGGTTGGGTCGAGTCTCGCGCCGCTTGTGTCTTTTGCCGACACTTGGGGATGGAGGTGCTCTCGGCCCTCGTGTCTTTCTCCTCCGAAAAGGAGTGTGGGACAAGAGCGCAGGTGAGAACACAAAGAGAAGAAGATGTAAGCGAAGCGAGCGCTCTCTTTTTCTCTCGAGGCTAGGACGAGACGGCAGCCCGGGCCTTGAAGGTACGGTCGGTTTTGCGCGAGGGAGCCAGGGAGTCCTGGAAGTTGCTCCGGAATGAGACCTGAGAAGGAGAGCAAGTGCGAAGAAACAGTTGCAATCGGGTTGCCACAACGCGCAATCATCTTCGTCGTCGTCGTCCGGACCGTCTTCCAAACCCAGGTCGCTTGGAGAATTTCTTCGAGGGCTAGAACGCAGCCGATCTCCGCCTTGCCAAGATGAGCATTTGGGGGCAGTTAGCCCCGGGTCTCCGGGTTGAAAGAGTGCAGGCAGCAATTTGACACCTCAGGGTTCCAAACGGACTCTTGCCATGACCATCTGCAGAGATCATGGCTGTCAAAGCTCATCTTGGCATAGAGGCATGGCTATCTCGGCAAAGGCCGAGAGCCAGGCATTTCCAGACGCTGAAACCGATGGTCGGCCACATGCTAAAGCAGAGGCCTGTGCCCTGTGCTGGAGCGATTCCACGTAGCCTTGGCATGCTTGCATGCGCCTGAAGAAGGGCAGGCCCCCGAATCGCGAAGGAAAATCCCGGCGCAGTGTGCAGTGTGCAGAGGTTCCCTTCGTCTGATGCCTTCCAGCATGACAGCAAGTTGACCCAGGTTTCCTGGGTTTAAGGCTTGAACCGTTGCGTCAACATTCGCAACACCTAGTAAAGCCTAGTGCGAAGCCAAGTGGAGTAGGTCTTATATGTCATAGGTCTCACTGCGCTTACCTGCAATCACCGGCATTGCCTTGCCGATGCGGCCCAAGGGAGGATTTGTAGGCATGGCCTGGGAGCAAATGGCAAGTAGACTGCAATAAAACTCTTTGTTTATGCGTCAATGCTTTGGAGCTGGCCATCGATGCCCTTCGGCCACTGTAGACGTTATTGCACATTATCATGCTTCTGCTAATGTTTATCATGCCGACCGCTGGAAGATGACCCGGTCGAGTATCTGGGATATACGGGACATGCGATGCGGTCGCTTTCTCGGTGCTCCGTTTCGCATTGCAGGGTCCTTGCACCGAGAATTGGGCACTTACGACTTCCGCCGAGGTCCGGTGATGACGGCGTGGGTTTCCCAGAGGTCCTGCGACATGCAGCGCATCGTCGGCGTCTCCCTTCTTTGCTCCCTCGTCCCGGAAGACGCTTTCAATTTTTTGCGGTCTCCGCTTTGGCAGCGGCAGTTAGTCCATGTTCGCACATGGGCCAGGGTTGGCCGTGCCGAGGTCGCCAAGAAAGTCCATTGTGCCGCCGCCAATAGGCCCTCGAATTGCGCGGTAAGGGTTCGGAACATGTCGACTTGCAACGAGCCCGTGACGTGCGCTTGGAAAGCCCTGCCAGACTGCCAGGCTCGCCGCGCCTTGCCCGAGGCAGCATCGCAACGAAGGACGCTGGAGGCAAACCTCGCATGACGGCGCCTGCACGGAACACGATCTGCTGAAGAGCCGTAGATTACGAAAGACCATAAGTTCCAGAGCTTTCTTAGGCCAGTCCCCGAATTGCAAAATAGCTGTTTGTGCGAAACCTTGTGCCCTAGACCAGGCATAGTTGTTGAAAGCCGACTGCTGCAATGATGCCGCTCGGCTGCTGAAAGGTGCTCGACTCTCCGCCATCGGCCGAATGGCCCTGCGAGACAAGCCGCTGGGGCCCTGCTGCTTTGACATGTCGCAAGTGCGTCGTCGGCAGAGTTCTGGCACCCACCACGTTTGAAAAAAACATGTATTGCTGGGCCCGTGCTTGGAGCAGGACTCGCACGCTACAGCTGCCAGCCTGGGTGGAAACGGGATCATTATCCAAACGACATGAGCTCTGATCCCCAGGGTTGTAGAACGTGCACCCGCATCATGTGCATGCAGAGCTTATGCCAAATTTACGCCAGCTGCGCTCGAATGCCTCAGCCCGAACCAGGAGCACCACTGCATGTTCACAGAACATAAAACTATAATGCCAATTGTCATCTGCGCACAACCCGAACACGAGCAAATGTATCCAAGGAGCCAACAGCAACACTCAGCTGCCCTCTACGGCCGCACCGGGCTTGTTTTACTGACGCGAAATCGTCCCTAAGGAAGTAGTATATTCCATAGGCCATAGGCTCCCTTTAAGATCCCTTTGTGTGCTTCTTGTGACACTATAAGTGGGCCACTTCGTTTCACAGGGGGAGAAGTAGAAAGGCACGAGAGCCTTCATCTGAGAAGGTGGAGAGGTTTCGATCGTGCGGCCATCAAAGATCCCCCTTTGCCCGCGCCAGGCGGTGGGCGGCTTTGGCCACGGTACGCAGAACAGGTCCGGGACGTGGTGTTACAGAAGCGAACAGTCATCTTGTTAATTGTGTGTGTCTCGAGCTCCAAAGCGAGTCCGAGTCCGACCAAAAGAAAGTCGTTCAGGTGTGCGAGCGGCCGCCTCTGGCTCCTCGCAAGGATTGGGGTGCCGCCCACAAGTAGGCGTCCGCGGTGCAAGATGGGAATTCGGGAGCTTCCAGCAAGTTCACCAGAGCCTCGCCAGCCTTGTCGCGAGGAGGGCTCGCGCACCCTGGAAGCTTCTCCTTGCAGCCGACCGCAGAGTGCCCGAGGCGGCACCGGGCCGGGACAGGGAGACGGTCCCTTTTCATCCCCCAAACCCTGCAAAAAGGCATCCCGGGCGCCACGACCCGCTCGACGTCGGCACCCAGGCCTCGAGGGCTCGCTTCCCTTCCCGCCGGGTCTTCGACTCCCGGAGTCTCCTGCCGCCGCAGGTGCCCCGCCGCGGGGCAGCGCGGCGCCTCGCTGCCCAGAGAAGGGCCGGCAACTCACCCAGGCTGGGCTTCTGCGAAGGGGGGGTCTTCAGGCTTTCTGGAGCGGCCCTCCATGCAACACAAAACTCCCAAACACTCGGACATGTTGTTTGTTGTCGCCTTGCATACCAAACCTGTGATTCTACAGGGCTGTCAGAAGGAAGCTGATGATCTTCGCAGACCAGACTCTTTTCAATGACAAGGGGATTGGGAAGCCTGATACCGCCAACATTCCTGCTTCGCCCCTCTCCAGGTCCCAGCGACCGTGGTCCGCCACAGAGGGCAGGTGGAATGGGCAGAAGAGGGGCCAGTTCTGTAGGCTCCTAGGCCCCGCACAGACCCGAGGTGGCCTTGGACCAGGAACTACTGGTGGTTGAGCCTGTTTACTGTAAACGACCGTGTAAGTCATAGGGCTGCCTGCACATGCAAGTCCCTCGCAGCCGTTGACGGCTTGTGCACGTAAATGAAACGCACTCGCAACCCCTTTCAGCCTTTAGGCAGCAATTGCAGCCTCTGGCGAGCAAGCTCGGACACTTGATGATGTCTTGCCGGGTTTCAGGCCAAATGACAGGTCACAGCACAGCATTCCGCCATTGTGTCGAATGTTTCCCCAAACCGAACCCCATGAAAACCGGCTGTCTCAACGAAAAAACATTGCTCCAAACTTGCGGGTCCCTGAGAAACTCAGCCCTGCCAGCTTCATCCCTCGACTGCTCGGCCTACGACGTGCGTGCCGGTGCCGTGGTCGCAACATCCCCCACGGTTTGTTCCGAAAGCCTGAGTCAACCTCACACTTCACGAGATGAACAACTCCCCTATACTGACCAGCATGGAAGGCCGTGTCGGTAAAAGGTCTAGCCACAACTCCATCGCAACAATCAGTGTGCCTGTCTGTGGCCACGTCCCGCCAGCATTCATCGCAAGGCATCCCGCCGATGCAAAGCCGCGTTCCCAGCGGATGGTTTCTGGAAGCAAGGTCATGTCAAGCTTTGCCGGATCGTCTTCGACCCTGCCTCACTCCTCCCATGTCCTCCCTTTCTGCAATTTCTGGCCACTTTCTGTGCAAAATTCAGGTACAGATGTCAGCTGTGTGGTGTTCCTCTGCATGTGTGTGTTGTGCGCAGGTGTCGCATGTGTATGACAGGATGCTACTTGGCCTTGTTCCCATGGGCTTTCTGCAGCGAAGGTCGCGCGGCCATCGCGAGAAACATCCTGGGCCCAGGCGCCAGGGCCGGCTCCGAAGGCTAAACTCGATGCCCTCGTCGCCGAGTCGTCGCCCAGGCGCCACGGCCCTGCAGGAAGATCTGGGCTATAAAAGAACCGAAATCCATGCCCGGGACCGAGCATGCTTTCAGGGTTGCCCAGTGCCCAGACAGAAACAAGGGAGGCTTGGGGTCATCACTGTCTTTGGGCATGGCCGTGGCATAATTAGAAGGGGCGCTCTCTGCTTTCTGCTTCACGAAGAAGCTGTTCCAAGTGTTCACAGTCGCCGTCCTGGCCCATGTTCAGGCACAAAAGAGCATCCCAATCGAACGGCTTTTTTCCGCTTTTCCGAGCTGGGCACGGAACAGAGAGATCAGGTTCCGCCTGGCCACTCGCTGGCACAGACGGCCGACGGCCGAGAACATCGCTTTTGCCGGGTAGGGTCTCTGGTCGGTTCCCTGGACTTTCGCAAGTTGTCTC